AGAATTAATATTGATGTTTAAAACAGTGCGACGAGAATAAAGTTGGAGTCAATTCTCAGTGATGTGTTTAGAGAGAGAGAGAGAGACAACGAATAAGAATTAAAATTTAAGACTTTTCAAAAATATTTTAAATAACTTTTTTTATATAAAAATCGTCAGAGCGAGAATCAGATTAGATCAATCAGATTCAACTATTATTTTTTATATTTTCAAAGGAAAATATTTATACATATATCCTAGAATGTTATGGATTAATATATACGATAGGTGAGTCAATAAGTGACCTTAATTTTACCCTCATAAATCATGACAGAATGTATTAAGGTTACTTACTGATTCATCCACATGTACATAAATTTGAAATATTATCGATAATTACATCTACAGTAACTGTTTTCTAAATTTTTTAGAATCTTACTCTAAAAAATAAAAATTCTGCCTCTTTTTCAAGAATTTTCAATCTTTAAGAGGGAGGTTTCATTCTTTAGAATCTTTAGAATGAAACTCTATTTCAAAGAATTTAGAAAGTGATACTAACCTATTATCAGGACGTAAAACTTAAATTTTCAACAATAATTGCCGTTGTTAAATAATTAAGCACATTAGCATACATATACAATAGTTCATTGAATGAAGACAAAGAACTAAAGAACGAAGAAAAAGAATAAAAAATAATAGTTGAATCTATTAATCTGATCTTCGATCTGACTATTTTTATATATTATATATCTTATAAATAAAGTATTTGTATAAAACACACAATTGATGCCGCCAACTAAGAAGCTACTTTGTAGCTATAGTTACAAAGTGAATGCAGAGCGTGGCGGCCTCGGTGGCGGCGTTTACATGACAAAAGATATTTCGCAAGACGACGTTACTCGATTACTCGCTCCATCAGACGAAAATTGATTTATCGTCATCGTCAAACGGCTGCTGTATGTAATTCGCACGTGAGAGAAAAAAATTCACGCGAGGCACTTTGGGGTTCAATTAATACTCGCAGCTAATTACCGTCGTTTGAGAACGCAAGAATGCCGTGAATGTAATTATTCTGAAGAGAGAAGAGAACGGCGGAATGTCGATGGATCATTAACGAGTAGAACGTGCCACTCTTAATTAATTGCGGCGATATGCGAATAAAAGAATCGTTGAGTTCTATTGTTTGTTGATCAATAATAAACGCGCGTGTCCGCATGCGAATCCCGCAAATAAATCCGCGATCTATTGTGCACTGGTCGCTGCTTAATCAAGAATAAAAAGCGGAGAAAAATATATAGAAAGAATAACGAGACTCGGTGAAGAAATCGGCGCGAGCAAATCAAGAGGAATCAATCGCTCTTTAAAAAAAAATTAATATCGCCTTACTTTTAAATATAGTTAATTACATTTATGAAAAGTATATTTTAAACGCATATATTTCTCTCTTCTCTTGATCAATTACGTTACAGATATATCAGGGGTCCCCCTTGGACTCTCCTTTTTTAAAAATAATTATAGCAAAAAAAATGTTATATATTTATAATAATTCTATAATATAATACTTAATTATAATTTTGATACTCTAAACATATTTTTGTTTAAGAGAAACTCTTAGATACACAAAAAATATAGATTTTATTATATTATTTTTCTTTCGTGTTAACATTATATATAATTTTAAATAAAACGATTTATGAAATAAACGTTTAAATAATACTTTCCCAATGTAACAATTTAAATAATAATTTAATATTTTATTTTTTCATATTTGACCTTACAAAGAAAATTTTGTTTCCGCCAAATCAATGACCCCTCTTGATAAATTTCTAGATAGATAGTTTAATGTTTAATTATTTAAATATCGCTGAAATCAAGTAAACAGATTCTTTTCTCGTGACGGCTTCGATTATCGTTTTACGGTTTTATTGGAAAGACGAATTCTCTCGAAATACGCCTCAATCTTTTCGACGACAGCTTTTGGCGAATCCCCAAGCAATAAAATACACGGGGATCGATACGCGTCACGCGCGATTTGAGGGACGGAATTATGAAGGACCTGGTCGCGTGGAGCTCGCATCCTGGTGCGAGCTTTCTACATCCGTCCGACGGACGCCTCCACTCGATGTCACACACGGTACATATGCAAATAAATGAAGCACGGCTGTCAGCCGGCGGCGGCACCGCCGGGCTTAAATCGGGGATTTTAATCGGAGCCCTTCAACCACCCTCCTCGTAGGTAAACAAAAGAGGAGAGGTATCCAACCGCAAACTCGGGCTGTAATTAAATTTCTGCAGACCACAGAAAAGAGAGGATGGGCAATGGAGAACACCTGAGGTCTCCCCCTTCTTCTTAGTTAGATCTTCTCGTTTATCGCAATTTGCGCTTTTGACGAATAAATTGAAACGGAAAATGCATCAATAGGCACGAAATCTTATTTTTAAAAAACATTATATGCGAAAATACTAAGGAAATACTCTATGTATTGATATATTTAACGTTACAAGTATTACGTTATTTTCGTACACACATTTCCGTATGACATTTTTTTAGAATATGAGCCCTATTCTTTATCACTGGATTATATTGAAATTTTCTTTCTTGTTTTCACTAAATTTCAGATGACAATAAGTATTGTATACGTGAGAACAATTTTGAAAAATAAATGAACCAGAAAATTTTAGTTATTAATTAAATTTCTGATTATATGTCTTAACTAACTATAGAATATTATAATAGATTCAACACCTGAAAAGTTTGATTAGTTCATTTTTAATTAATATTCTAATTAATGCAACCAGATTCTTTTTTTCAGTACATCAATTTCATTTTAAGAGTATAACAAATGTGTACTAATTTAGCTATAAAGAATAGAACTTTTATTGAAGGATGCGAAAAATATGCCCGAAATAAACACGAAGTAAAGTAACATATTACATCATTATTTTAATATTTATAAATTCCCACTCAATAATATAAATATAATACGTATATCACATATTGTATGTATAACAAGTATATTGTTGAATAGCAAATTATATCACTGATATATAATGTCATTTCGTGTTTATTATGTGAAATGTAGAAAAGTATAAGTAACAATCACTACATCAATATTACAATCTTTATAAATTCCCATTCAACGATATAAATGTAATATAATATATGTTGTATGTAACAAGTATATTGTTGCACAGGAAATTATATCAGAGATATAGTGTTACTGTTACTTTATGTTTATTGTGTGAAATGTATAAGTGACAGTCACTATATCAATATTACAATCTTTATAAATTCTCACTCAACGATATAAATGTAATATAATACATGTTGTACGTAACAAGTATATATATTGTTGAATGAGAAAATTATATCACTGATATAACGTTACTGCTACTTTATATTTATTGTATGAAACATAGAAAGATGTGTATAAGTATAAACAGTAATTGACTTTATCAGAGTATTACAATATTTATAAATCTCATTTAATAATATAAATGTAACATAACATTTCTTATATGTTAACGTAACAATTACATCGTTGAATAGGAAATTATAAGACTAATATTAATGTTAGTATTATTATATTTTGCGATTATTGTGTGAAATGTAGAAAAGTGTATCTAATTGAAACGAGAGCAAGCTTAATATAACTTGGCACTTCGCGTATGACGTCAAACTCAAACATCAAGTGCCACGAAGTCTTGCTATTCCATACACATACACTCACGTATATACATGTATATTTATGTACGAATCTACAAAACAGTAATTTGTCGTATTACACGAAATTAATCGTGCCAGACTGACGGAGCGTTGTAAGATCTTTTACGGAGTCCTTCGATCCATCCGCCACTACTCAACGCGACGATGCGATGTCGCAACCGCGTAACTTACACCCCGCGCAGGATTAACAGCAGGAAGTGACGTAAATCCAAGGTGCGCGTTCGGGCGTGCGGATCTCGAGGGAAACTTCTCAGGTCTCACGGCAAGAACCTGACAATGAGCTTCCGCGATTTGGAACCGGCGACGATATCTCGCGCTTACAGCGACAAGTTAACTAACCCTCCGGAGCTCACGATGGGTCTATTAAATCCATTGAATTACTAATCTCTTTGTTAAAACTGCCAGACAATTCAATTTTCTTTATGTTACAAACTTCATGTCTACTAACTCGGATTATTCTCGTTAAAACAATACTCAGTATTCCATTCATGGTTTTGCCAAAATAACTACCATATATAGTTAAATTTGTAGATAAGTACCCAGTCAGGAAAACAAAATTATTTTTAGGTCTATGTCTATAGATGGAAATTCGACCGTTCTTATTAAAATATTACAATTACATTATTCCTATATATTAAAACATTATACTTATGTAGTATTCATAGACTGTTTTGCTGAAATATCTAAAAATTTAACTATGTGTATAATTAATTATAGTTAAATACTTCTGCAAAACAGACGAAATTATTTTCAAGTCTGTATCTACAGGTACAGACCTGAAAATAATTTTCGTTGGACCATCAAAATAATTATGTAGGGCGCCGAAACTGGTTGCGAGAACGTCAAAACTTTTTACAGCATTGCTCATCATGCTTGAGATTCCTGCGTAATTATTTTGATGACCCAACAAAATTATCTTCAGATGTGAAAAAAGTCGAACTTCTTTATATACTTTTTCAAATGCTCTAGTTATGTCATTTGGATTCTTTGAAATCACTTTGACTTAGTTTGAATTAATTAACGCCATTCTTCAATTAACATAAATCAAACGAGTCTCACGGATTCAGTAACTATGTGTTACAAATTTCGATGTCAGCTGAGGAGGATTGAGAAAGCACAGGGGACAGATACTTTTCATTCCTATTTACAATACAGATTATCGAGGGAGAGAAAGGATGGCGATTCCCGGACGAGCCTCCGAGCGCGGATAAGTTGAAAGATCCTCGTGGCGCGCTTTACTCCCTCCGCTCTTCCCCGACCCCGTTCCCGGGACGACCGGATCGAACGGACTTACCCGCCTCGAGGAGCTCCAGGTCCAGGTTGCCGCTGCGACTGCGGCTGATGCTGCTGCTGCATGCGTTGTAGCTACCGGCGCGTTGATGATGAACAGCGGTCTCCTCCATCGCCCGGGAGGCGCTGCGTTTGAACTGCTCCAGGAAGCTGTCGATCTGGTTCTCGATGCTGGTGGGTGAACTCGCCATCCTTTCTCGTGTAGCTGTCAACAATCTGTACTCCCCCGTGACTGACACACGCAGTTCTCGCGCCGTTCCCTCGGTCCTCCGTCCGCGCGACACCCGGTGCCCGAACGACGACGGTGATAGAGAAAGATAGAGAGAGAGAGAGAGAGAGAGAGAGAGAGAGAGAGAGAGAGAGAGAGAGAGAGAGAGAGAGA